TGTGTATCACCATAACATGTGTTGTCTCTCTCCCTCACCTAGTTGGTAGAGCCTTTGGAACAGGGTATTTGTATTTATATCCCAGCAGCTAGCACATAATAGATCCTCAATAAATATTTAGTTGACTCAAATGCCTCTTGCTTGCTTATGGCGTATCAAGTCTGCACTCTTCTGGCTGACTGTATGTACATCCTCCCTAAGATAAGCCAGCCTACTGATTCAATCTTGCTTCTTTTTACTTATTAGCACAAGTCTGTTACATGTCCATTTCCTCTTTTGTTCTTCAGTAGGTCTTTCATTTCCCCCTCTTTTGTAATATAGCTTAGTGGTTGGGCTCTGGAAACTAGATTCAATGGAGCTGGGTTCAAATCCCAGTATAAGGGAAGACTGTTAGACCAGTTACTTTAACTTCTCTGAGCCACAATTTCTCATCTGTAAAACAAGGGCATATTCAATGGAGCTGGGTTCAAATCCCAGTATAAGGGAAGACTGTTAGACCAGTTACTTTAACCTCTCTGAGCCACAATTTCTCATCTGTAAAACAAGGGCATATATAACAACACCTATTCTTATGGCAGTTGTGAGGATTAATTGAGAAAATGCATGTAAAGTATGTAGACTAGTCTCCTGCCAGGAAGTGAGTACTCAGAGAAGGCTAGGTATTATTATGCAACATTATTCATTTAACACTGAGTCCCTACCTAACAGGTGTCACATGCTGTGCTGAGGTAAATAAAGACATATAAGGCACTCTCCTTGGCCTCAAGCAGTTCTCAGTCTAGTGCAGTGGTTCTCAACCTTCCTAATGCCTCGACCCTTTAATACAGTTCCTCATGTTGTGGTGACCCCCCAACCATAAAATTATTTTTTTAAAATATATTTGATTGATTTTTTACAGAGAGGAAGGGAGAGGGATAGTTAGAAACATCGATGAAAGAGAAACATTGATCAGCTGCCTCCTGCACACCCCCTATTGGGGCTGTGCCCGCAACCAAGGTACATGCCCTTGACTGGAATCGAACCTGGGACCCTTCAGTCCACAGGCCAACGCTCTATCCACTGAGCCAAACCGGTTAGGGCCATAAAATTATTTTCGTTGCTACTTCATAACTGTAATTTTGCTACTGTTATGAATCGTAATGTAAATATCTGATATGCAGGATGTATTTTCATTGTTACAAATTGAACATACTTAAAGCATAGTGATTAATCACAAAACAATATGTAATTATATATGTGTTTTCCAATGGTCTTAGGCGACCCCTGTGAAAGGGTCGTTTGACCCCCAAAGGGGTTTCGACCCACAGGTTGACAACCGCTGCCTTAAGGGCAAAAAACCCTGTGTCTTGATCTTTTAATTCCCAGGGCCTAGCATTCAAATAGATAGCACACAATGAATGTGGAAAGAAAGAAGGAATGGACTTCTGCAAAGTCGCACAGCTATTTAGTAGAAGAGGTAGGATTCAAATCCAGATCTCCAGAGTATTTTTAAGTGCTGTATCACATTTCTCAGAGTTGGCTATGGAAGTAAAAATTTAAACCTTTCATTTAATGCAAGCTTCATTATATTGGATTTTTTTCCTTTCATGGCTTAATGAAACCTCTTGACACTATCAGGTAAATTCAAATATCAAAAATACTTAGTAAAGATAGTTTGAACACTTATGGATTAAGTAATCCATAAATTTTTGGCAAATTACACTATACACAATTGATCTTATCTAGTGTTAATTGCTGGCATTACAGATACAAATGTCAGTAGAGAATTACTCAAGATAAAACAGCAGTAGACCCACTAAAGCCAACCAAAGAATGCCTAAACTGCCAACCAAGCACCTCAATTCAGATAGGCAGGAAAAGGTCTACTTTAACATTTCTTTCATGAATCATACAATTATCCAAGATAACAAATCTGTGTTAAGATCCTTATGGAGCAAAAGAACATCTATCATCTCTACCAGTGAGTCACATCAGGAAATATTTGAAAGGTCATCTCATTTCTATGGTCATGTGTAGATTAATTAAAATGCTTTCTACTATTCTGGACTCTAGTTTTTCCCCATCCCAACTCTATATACTGTTGCCCAGTTCATCTTAGCTGTGTGACCTTGGGCAAGTCATTTAACTTCTCAGGGTCTGTTTCCTCAACTGCTAAATGAGAGGGCTGTGCTAGATTAGTGCTTTTTATACTGTTACTTAGAGCCCTTGAGTCCCTCAGACACCCAGCCGTGGTGTTGTGGGTGCTACTAAGCAGGTTAGGGAAAAGATGGGCTGAGTTGGCATGGCAGGGGTATCCATCTCCAGCACAGCAGCCCTTTTAGAAATCATGGGCTATCTAAAACTTGGTTTGAAAAAAGAGTTCTGCTACAACAAAAAGTTTAAGTATAATTACACTTACATGATTTCTAATGGTCCTTCCAGTTCTCCTAAACTAAGATTTTATAAAAATCTTCTATATTGCCCCTGGTTTGGCTCAGTGGATAGAGCGTCAGCCTGTGGACTGAAGGGTCCCGGGTTCGATTCTGGTCAAGGGCCCATGCCTGGGTTGTGGGCTCAATCCCCAATGTGGGGTGTGCAGGAGGCAGCCGATCATTGATTCTCATCATTGTTTCTCTCTCTCCCTCTCCTTTCCTCTCTGAAATTAATAAAAATATATTTAAAATTTTTAAAAATCTATACATAATAGGAATTTAATGTGATAAAGTGTTTACATACAGAAATACAATAAACAACTAATTTATATTATTTTTTATTTATTAATCTTGGTAACTATAATAATAAAAGCATAATATGCTAATTAGACCAGACAGCCAAATGACCTTCCAGATGTCTTTCCGGACAACCTTCTGGACGAAGCCACAAGGGCCAAGGCAAGCTGCCGCGGCTGCAAGGGCGGCTGCAAGGGCCAAACCCCTTGCACAAATTTCGTGCACTGGGACTCTAGTCTCAAAATAAGATGCAATGCAATGCTTATAGTGACAATTTAATATACACTCTGAAAGTAATTGGCAATTCCCATAAAGACTCTCATTTTGGAAGCCATAGAAAAAAATGGCTTACAAAGTTCAGGACCAAATTCAAATTCTGCATATTTCTTTTTCTCTTAGACAACAGTAAAGCTATACCTTAATCCAAGCAAATGCACATGAACAAATTTTCTTTAGTCTCACAATTACTGAGTTTCCAAGTCTCCTCCACAAGTACTATCTTATTACTTTGTATTACTGCCTAAGGCTGATCCTAAAAGCTCAATTTACTAGAGTCATTAGAGGTGCCAGACAAATAAAACACTAGGTAATAATTTGCCAGTCTCCCTTCCTCCTCAGCTTCTAAAATGAGGTGTCTCAAGGGGAGGTTTATTAGAATCATCTGGGAAGCTTTTCCAACCTACACTTATGTCCCATTCTCCTCTCCCTCTTGCAAAGCATTGTTTTAGCCAAGGACTTCATTCTGCCCCACATAAATCTTTTTTTATTGGTTTCAGAGAGGAAGGGAGAGAGAGTTAGAAACATCAATGATGAGAGAGAGAATCATTGATATGCTGCCTCCTGCATGCTCCTCACTGGGGATCAAGCCTGCAACCTTGGCCTTTGCTGGAATCGAACCTGGGACCCTCCAGTCCGCAGGCCGACACTCTATCCACTGAGCCAAACTGGCTAGGGCTGTCCATCTTTTTAAATCCAGCTCAATTTAAGATTGAGGGAGTAAAAACAATTGAATTTGGAAGACACTGGCTTTGTCACAACTGGTTGGGTAAGTCACTTAACCTTTCTGGTGTCAGTTTTTCCTTTGATTTTTGAGGTTCCCTTCCAACTTTGAAATTCTATGACAGCATATCGTATCTAAGAAGCTTTCTGAATTCCTAGCATAGAATGACTTGTCATTTCTTAGTTTTCTAACAGCCTGTGCAATGTGACATCACCTAGTTATATACTGTCTTATATTGCCGTCTAGTTGTTTTTTTTTATTTTCTATAATTTTTATTAATACATATATCATCAATGTTTTGTTTTGTGTGTTTTTTTTATATATTTTATAGATTTTTTACAGAGAGGAAGGGAGAGAGATAGAGTTAGAAACATCGATGAGAGAGAAACATTGATCAGCTGCCTCCTGCACATCTCCTACTGGGGATATGCCTGCAACCCAGGTACATGCCCTTGACCGGAATCGAACCCGGGACCCTTCAGTCCGCAGGCCGACGCTCTATCCACTGAGCCAAACCGGTTTCGGCCCGTCTAGTTGTTTTTACATGACAATTTTTTTTCTTTTCAACTACATTTAATTTAAAAGCTTATTTTCCAGGCCAGAAAATAAGCTTATTTTCTACTTAAATCTTCTAGGACAACTTGGGATGTATCCTAAGGTAATCAGTATACTAGTATATTTATAATGATTTGTTCAAAACAATGACACCCCCCAATTATATTTTTACATCAGCACTGTCCAGTAGAAATATAATGTAAGCCACAAATGCGAGTCCAATATGTAAATTTAAGTTTTCTAGTAGGCACATAAAAAAAGTGAAGACACAAGTGAAATTAATTTTAATACATTTAACCCAATATATACAAAATAACTATTTCAACAACGTAGTCAGTGTAAAAATTATTGATATAGTCTTGTTTCATAATAACTTTTCAAACTCCGGTGTCTGTTTCACATTTACAACACATCTCAATTAAAAATGGGCATATTTAAGTACTCAATAGCCCCATATGGCTAGTGGCTACGTATTGACACTGAGCACTTCATAAGTACTAACTGGGCTAGCCAGAGGGTTGCAAAAATTAATCAGACTCATTCTAGTAAGGGAGATACACAGATCTGTAGATGCAGAGAACTGTGCTTGGTGGGGGGGGGCGGGTGTCAAGGAAGGTTTCACAGAGGAAAACTTTTTAAAGGCATTGTGTGGGAGGAAGGGTGACCTGAGGCGGAAGTGGGCGGGAGAGGATTGGGTGGGAGGATCCCGGAGCTCCAGCTGTGGAGGCGCTACTTGCACTCGGCACTCAGGCGCCCAGACCTGTGGGCCACGGGGGCGGCACAGCAGCTGGAGCCCGGGCTGCCGCGGCCCCTCACCTAGCGCGGTTAGGCGCGCGGCAGACCGGCTCCGGAAGCGCGCCGCTCGCGCTCAGTACTCAGCCTCGCCATAGCCGGGCCTCTGAGGCAACGGAGCTTCCCAGCTCAGCCTCCGCGAGGAGGAGCAAGCCGGAAAGGGGGCTGAGCGTTTTGCTCATGCGCTTGTTTTTCTCCGTGGCCTCCTACAGGTAACGACGGCCTGGTCAAAAGAGCCAGTAGAAACGGTTGCCAGGGCCGGCTAACAGCTGCTTCCGGAGGTTCCCTGGCGCTTCGGCAACAATGGGGCCACTGGACCGAGGGAGCGCCCCTTCCGGTTTCGTAGCTTCTCACGGAGCTCCGTGGCGCGTCGCCTTTAACCCCGGAAGTGAAGTCTTCCGGGTTCCTCCCTCCCTCAAGATGGCAGCAGCCGAAGAAGACGAGTTACCGCTGCCACGGCTGCCCGAACTGTTTGATATCAGCAGACGGCTTCTGGACGAAGTGGAAGTAGCGACCGAGCCCACCGGTTCCCGGGCAGTCCAAGAGAAGGTGTTGAAAGGACTCCAGCTCCTTAAGCAGGCCGCCGAAATGTTAGCGCAGCTCGACTTGTTCAGGTATGGGGAGAGGGTAATAGCTGACAGCGTAGGTAATAATGGTTACCAAGGGTGGAGCCTTTGGGCCTGGGTGGAGGAGACTAAGACTAAGGGCCTTTCATGCCTGCCTCCCATTGTGATCTCGTGTATATTGTTTACATAATCCACCTCTCTTCCCGAGTAGTCAATATCCCACGACTCTGTTACATTGTATCTGCTGTTGACGGGTGTGAGCGCTCAGCCACTTGGAAGAAACCAGGCCACTGTTCCCCTTGCCTCCACCCTTTGCCTCACTCCCACCCCAACGCGCCCCACCCCCCAGTAAGCAAGGGCCACAGTTTTAATGCCCAACCAGGCTTCACAGCCTCTTCTTTGCTTTTTCCAGCCAAAATGAAGATTTGGAAGAGATTGCTTCCACCGACCTGAAGTACCTGATGGTGCCAGCATTTCAAGGAGCCCTCGCCATGAAACAAGGCAACCCCAGCAAGCGCTTAGATCATTTGCAATGGGCTCGAGAACACTTTTTAAACTACTTAACTCAATGCCAGCACTATCATGTGGCAGAGTTTGAGTTGCCCAAAACCAAGAACAACTCAGCTGAAAATAACACAGCTAGTTCCTCCATGGCCCATCCTAGCCTCGTTGCTATGGCATCTCAAAGACAGGCTAAAATAGAGAGGTGGGTCAGTAGTTATAATTAGAAAACTGCCCAATGCCAAGTGCTGTTGAGAAGGGTGTATGTTTGGGGGGGGGGGGCCGGAGGGGGGAGCGGGTGGACAATGATATATGTCACTCTTTTCATTTTTATTGAGCATAGGCCCTGGTGCTAGCAAACTCTACTGAGTTTTTCAAGAACCCTCTACCTTTGTTGAGATGATCATTCCTAACCATCAGACTCCTTATGGTTGCCAACAGCAGCAATGTAGTTTAGTGGAATGTCTCCCAATCTCTCCCACATCACAACATGGTAATATTTGTATAGTACTGTGGGGCAAATATCTCTGAAGGGCACAATATCTTGTAGTTGTAGTCCATTTACAATCCATTGATTGAGAATCTCTTTTCTAACAGTATTGGATCAGGTGTGTAACATCCCGAACTAATCTTAGTCCTGGCATACCTTCATTGTGTAACCTTGAACAGGTTCCTTGCTCTCAGTTTAGTTTTTTTTTTTTTTTTTTAATGTATTTAAAGAGTGCTCACAGTGTCTAGGAACTATGCTAGTCACTGGGGATACAAACTGAGTATGCCTGTTTCTGTGAGTATGAGTGGTGTCTGCCTTGGAGGAGCATACAGTCTGGTGAGGGGAAAAAAGGCATAGAAACAGTATCAATATAAAATGATGTGATAGAAAGATGTACAAGGTACTGTGAGAACAGGCTAGAGAGGCACCTATCCAAAGATGGAGCAGGAAAGAGGAGAAGGCTCCCTGGAAGAGGTAACTTATGATGAGTTGTTTAAGGATGAATAGGAATATTACCTAGAAGATGAAAGGAGGGCATTAGGCAGCACAGATAGCATTGCTAAGATATAAGGGCATTAAAGAGCTGTGCCGGGGTGGAGATGTGTGGGTGGGGAGTAACTATAAGCAGTTAGGTGATGTTAGAATGCAAAGAGAGTTGTGGAGAGGGGGAAAGAATGATGATCAAGAATGTTGTAGCTTTCAGACCTAGGGGAGCTTGGGGTGTGAGGAAGGTGAAGGAATAATCTCAATGATTAACATAACAATAATGAGGGAAATTTGTGGTCTTCGCCTAGTGCCATTTATCATACCCTGAGGGGTCTAGACAAAGGGAAGTTACAAGTTACCCTGACATTCTACAGGTATGTTATCTTAAATGCAAAAAGATAAGAGGCTCAGTAAAAAGTTGATCTTTGTCAGGGAAGATACTGGCCTAGGACATGAGTACCCACTATAAGCTGCTTTTTAATTAAGAGGTTTCATTTCAGACTATCCTTTGTGGTTACTTTAGGTCTCTTAGTTTACAAGACTGCCATGCAGGCCTTCCCTGAGTTAGTCAAGCTAGTATGTGGCCCCTTTTCATCCACACAGTGTTGTGGAGAAACAACAGTGCTCAGTTCTGGTTGGAGGGATAGGGAAGGTTTCAGAAGGTAACAGCATTTGCGATAAGCCTTGAAGGATGGTTAAAAATAAGAGATTACAGATTTTCCTGAATGTAAAAGTAATACCCATAATAGAAAGTTGGAAAAATAGAGAATATTTTTTGAATTAAAGTAATCCTTAATCTTAGCACTCAGAGATGATCTTTGTTAACTTTCTGAATGTTTCCTTTTAGATATGATGTAGTTATTTTAGTTAATAAATTTGGAATAATACTGTATATATAGTTTTTCATCTTTTTTAATCTAACATTATATTGTGAGCATTTCCCTGTGTCTTTTGAAACCATGGTATTTAATGGCCGCATAACATTTCAGCCCATAGATACACCATAAGTATTTAAACTAATCTTTTATTGTCAAATACTTAGACTATTTATGGTTTGGGCTTTTATTTTTGCTATTCTAAATAATGTTAATGCCGAAACTGGTTTGGCTCAGTGGATAGAGCGTCGGCCTGCGGACTGAGGGGTCCCAGGTTCGATTCCGGTCAAGGGCATGTGCCTGGGTTTCGGGCACGTCCCCAGCAGGGGGTGTGCAGGAGGCAGCTGATCGATGTTTCTCTCTCATCGATGTTTCTAACTCTCTATCTCTCTCTCCCTTCCTCTCTGTAAAAAAATCAATAAAAATATATATTTTTTAAAAAAATAAATAAATAATGTTAAGAACAAACATTATTATTTTCTTTTATATGTTTTTATTGATTTTAGAGAAAGAGGAAGGGGGAGAAACACTGATGAGAGAAAAACATTGATCAGCTGCTTCTTGCATGCCCCCTACTGGGAATTAAGCCCAGAATCAAATCAGCAACCTCTTGGTACATGGGTCAACACTCAAGCACTGAGCCATACTGGCCAGGCCAAACATATATATTTTTAAATTTTACTTTAATTTTTCCATCACCATTTATCTCCTCTATGCCGTCTTTCACCTCCACCCCCCATTCTATACCCCCTCACTCCCACACCCCCCTCTCCTGCCATCACCACACTGTTGTCCATGTCTGAGTTCTCTTTTTTTCTTTTTTGCTTAAACAAACATCTTTAACTGCATCTGTCACTGTTTCCTTAGGATAAATTTCTAGAAGGACAAGTGACTAGATCAAAGGTTTTAAATACTTTCAGAATTTTTAAAAAATATTTTTTATTGATTTCAGAGAGGAAGGGAGAGGGAGGAGATGGATACATCAATGATGAGAGAGAATCATTGATCAAATGCCTCCTGCATGCCCCACACTGGGGATCAAGCCTGAAACTTGGGTATGTGCCCTGACCAGGAATTGAACCACGACCTCCTGGTTCATAGGTCATGCGGGGATATTTGAAGACTTGATGGTAACAGTGTGTTGCTTTCTACAATAACAAATTGCAGAATGTGTCCCACTGCACTGATCTTGGATGTTAACACTTGGAAAATCCAGTTGGGCAAACAAAAGTATTTCATTGTTTTGATTTGCATTTCTTTGGCTAGAAAGCTTGATCTTTGAATGTTTTCTTTACATGCCTGATAGATGAGATATCAGCATTTTCTTACTTTCAGATTCATACTTCCAACACCCTACATCAGTGATTTTCAGCCTTTTTCATCTCATGGCATACGTAAAATAATTAGTAAAATTCTGCGGCACATCAAAAAATATACTTTTTGCCGATCTGACCAAAAAAATAGGTCTAATTTTGATTTGTTCATACCAGGTGGCTATTGTTGTGTTGGCTGTTTTCTCATTTTTTTTATTTGACAATCTAAGAGAAAAGAGGTCAGTGCTCCTGACTAAATCATCAGGTATTGCATGTTTTAAAAATTACTGTGGCACATTGGTTTAAAATCTCTGCCCTACATGGATGTTTCACAGACATCTCAAACTTAACATGCCCTTAATTGAACCCTTGGCTTTTTAACCTGCAAATATCCCCCCACACCCAAGACTTCACCATCTTAATAGGTTTATCACCATTCACCAGGTGTTTAAGCCAGAAACCTAGAAGTTAGTCTCATTTCCTCCCTTCTGAATCTCCACATCCATTCATTCTTCAAGGCCTGCCAATTGTAGCTACAAAATGTATCTTACGTCCTTCTGCTTCTCTCCATCTCCATTATCTCATACCTTAGTCTAGACCACCAGTATCTCACCTGAAATAGCGAAACCACTAACTGCAAGGCCCTGCATGATCTGGTGCCTGCCTCTCTCCAATTTCATTGTGTATCACACTCCCTTTGCTCAGTAGCCTTTTCGTTCTTTGAACAGACCCAGCTCCTTCCTTCTAAAGCAGTGGTTCTCAACCTTCCTAATGCTACGACCCTTTAATACAGTTCCTCATGTTGTGGTGACCCCCAATTTCATTGTTACAAATTGAACATAATTAAAGCATAGTGATTAATCACAAAAACAATATGTAATTATATATGTGTTTCCGATGGTCTTAGGCGACCCCTGTGAAAGGGTCGTTCGACCCCCAAAAGGGTTGCAACCCACAGGTTGAGAACCGCAGTTCTAAAGAGTCTTTGTTCATGTTGTCTTTGCATGGAATGCTCTTCATTCATCTGTCTCCCCTGCTAGAATGTATGCTCCAGAAGGTCAAGGAGCTATTTCTCTTTTGTTCACTGCAGTATGTTGACCACAGGTTCTGGCATATAGAAGGTGCTCAAGAAATATTTACAAGTTAGGAGGAACAAGTAGGAGGAACAACACGAGCAAAAGCCCAAGGCAGTTTGAGGTATGTACATGGAATGGAGAGTAGTCTGATTTGGCAGAAGCTCAGAGGTCTGAATAATGAAATGATGTGTATAGAATATTGAAAGGGAAGAGAGAGGCAGAAAGAAAAGTTAACATGCTGTAGTAGTACTTCAACTTGGAAAAGGTAATAAAAATGAAGTTACAACTATCAGAGACATTACTTTTGCAATAGAAAAGTTATTGTTCAGATCCTTAGTTACCTTTTGTAGGTCTTCCTTCCCTCACCCCACAACTTTACATACTGAGGCCATGCTACATAAAACACCTCTCTCTCTCTCTCTCTCTCTCTCTCAAAACCTGTTTCTTCACGTATTCTCTCCTACTCTAATTCCCATCTTTGAGGAGTAAGTGTAAGTCTAATTGATTGACTGAACCTCCATTCTTTTGATAGAAACAGAAGAGTAGAAGCTAGGTAAGCAATAAATCTAATTTTAGATTTACTGAATTTAGTTCCAAAAATGTCAACTGGATAACCATCTCCATAGACAGATGGAAATGTGTAACTAAAACATGTGAGGCAATTTTGTTACTAGTGCTAAAAATTTAGGCGCTTTGGTGGATTTGTATAGTTTGCCAAGGAATAACATGTAGAAGGGGGAAAAAAGCCAAGGATAAAACCTTGAGGACAAGTTAAGGGAGAAGGAAGAGAAATGAAAGAGCAACCAGAAGTAGGTAAGAGACTCAGCAAGGTACAGATAGAATTACTTGTAGAAGCCTGGGCAAGAGAGAGCAAAAGTCATGTCCTCTTGAAGCTTCTCCCTACCCATCACCACCCTCCTCCCCCATATTGTAACACTTAGTTTATGGTTCTTATAATAACTATA